GAGCTTGATCAGAACAATTTACTTTGCATGAGATCCTCCTGTGATCCTTTCCTGATGCTAGATTCTTTGCAGGCTTTAGTTGGATATTTTGCATGGAGAGGGCCATGGGGATATTTGTGGAGGGCAGCTGGAGCAGCATGAAGAGGTGGAGAAAGCAGGGACGTTGGAGCCCAAGACAAAACAACAACAAAGCCACAATAATTGCTGTTTGATATGGTTTTGCTGTGTCCCCACCCAAATCTCATCTTAAATTGTAACTCCACAATTCCCATGTGTCATGGGAGGAGCCCAGTGGGAGGGATTAAATTATGGGGGCGGGTCTTTCCTGTGCTGTTGTCGTGTTAGTGAATGAGTCTCACGAGATCTGATGGTTTTAAAAAAAATGGGAGTTGCCCTGCACAAGCTCTCTTTGCCTGTCACCATCTACGTAAGATGTGACTTGCTCCTCCTTGCCTTCCACCATGATTGTGAGGCCTCCCCAGCTATGTGGAACTGTAAGTCCATCAAACCTCTTTCTTTTGTAAATTACCCAGTCTTGGGTATGTCTTCATCAGCAGTGTGAGAACAAACTAATACACTGTTGTCAACTGAACCTTCATGTCAGTCATCTGCTAAGCACTTGACAATGCGTTATCTCATTTCATGCTACTCACTTTGGAGGCAACAACTTTATGAGGCATGCACTGTTGCTATTAGCATTGCATGCAGGAGGCAGCTGAGGCTCGGGGGAAGTTATACAACTTGATCAAGGTCACACAGCTAGTAAGAGGCAGAGCCAGTACTGGAATCCTGGATGATTCAAAGCACAGGCTCCCGAGTACTAGGCTACATTGGCATGGATTCCAGTACTCATTTTGCTAAAAAGTAAAATACAATGTTTTTGATGGCTTATCATACCAGGACACTTAATAGCTTTGTGTTCTTGTGAAGATTATGTGACCTCTCTGATTCTTTGTTACCTAGATATTTTGCCTGGTTATGTTGAGGGTTAGGTATGAATGCATGTAAAGAGCCTACTGCAATGCTTGATCCGTGGTGAGTATTCAGTAACCAGTGGTTGCTCCTTGGGGAGATATACCTGTGGTCAGCTTGAGTCTTCCACCTTTGATTTGGATTTGGTTGAATTGCCTTGGTTGAAGAGGTCTAAAGCTCCTAGCATCCTTCAGCCTCTCGGCACAGATGAGTGGTGTGAGTCTTTGGCTCTGACAAGTGTGAATGAGGCTGTCATCACCATCAGACATATGGGCTTGACATTGCTCAGGAGATTATTTTATGAAGTACAGAGAAAAAAAATGTCCAGAATCACATTATTTAATTGCTGGAGTTATTTAATTAGGCAGGTGATATCAGGGTTAATGAATCATTAACACCTCAAAAGGGCAATTAGCTCATTGTTTCTGTAATTTTATGCAATCAAGCAGAAAGCTGCTTCTTAGAGTGGCTGTATTTTAATAGAATTTTGCAGAGGATGGTTTCTGTTGTTTTGTTTTCAAACGAGTTCTGTAAATTTGTGCTTGCTGTTGATACTCACGGCGTTGGTTTTTTATATGAGTGTGCAGGTGTGTTTAATTTTATATATAGTATGATAACAGGGTGAAGTGGATGTAGTTGTGCGTTTCCACATTCTTCCACAGCCTCTTTTCCTGGAATCCTTTCCAGAGCAGCAGAGCTCTTCCTCCCTTGTCATGGTAGCATTCATTCATTCATTATTCATTTGTAGTCATGAAATAGTTATGAATTCCTGTTAGGGGTCACTCATCATTCAGGCACTGGGGGTACTTGGTTGAACATGACAACAGGGTCCCTGCTCTTGGAAGCTTCCATTCTACAAAAGGACGATGGAAGCAAATAAGCAAACAAGAAAGAAGAGGCAGGACGAAGTGCTCAGATGGAGGCAGGGGGAGCCTCTCTGAGGAGCTGACATCGAAGTGACTTCTTAACGTAAGAGGGGCAAACCAGGTAAAGATTGGTGAGGACGTTCCAGGCTCAGGTCCTGTGTGGGAACAGGCTGGTGTTTCAGGACTGCAAGAACGCAAGCATGTCCGGGGTGCAGGGAGGCCAGGAGGGGTGCGGAGGCAGGGTGGAGAGGCAGCCAGTGCCAGCTGCCTGAGGGTCAGCCTGGGGGTAGGTAGGGCAAGGGCGGGCCTCACTGAGGGGCATCACACCGCCTTCTGATGTGTGTTTACAAAGGCTGCTTTGCTTGCCACGAGGGAAGGATCCTCGTGGGGCAGGGGAGAGGTGGTGGAGGTGGTGAGAAGCGAAGAGTCAGAGGTGTGGCTTTGAAGTTGAGCTGACGATGCACGGATGGCATAAAGGATGAGAAGACCCAAGAATGCCACCAGAGTTTAGAGTTGAACAAATGGGGCTGGGGTGGCTCCATTTTCTGAGGTGGGGAAGCCTGGGTTGATCCATTGGCTACAGATGAAATCAGAAATTCTATTTGGGTCATATCAACATGGAGGTGCCTGAACAGCCCTCCTCCCCCCTTCTCTGTCTCTGTCTGTGTTTCTGTGTGTGTGTGTGTGTGTGTGTGTGTGTGTGTGTCCGGGGAGGGGGGATTCTCATATTTATTGGATTGAATATTTATTACTGTTATAGGTATTGCATTGTGCCTTTTGTGACATTATCTCATTGTCATCTCAATGTTATTCTCGTAAGAACTCTGTAAGGCATGATGACCCCCATTCTAAAACTTAATCAGCTGCGGCTCAGAGAGGCATAGTTGCCTCTCCAGACCACGTGGATAGTAAGAGCTGGCATTTGAATCCAGGTTTGACCATTTCCAAAGCCTGGGGTCTTCCCCTCTGCCAGGCTGCCTCTCGGGCAGCCCTCTGTTCTGACGGAAGGCATTGTAGGATCTCAGTGAGGTGCCAGAATGGCCTCTCAGTGGCAGCTGTGGCTGCCTTGGTTCCTCTCACCCTTCTCCCAAGCCCCCCGGTGAGACACACCTCCCTGGTCTCCTTCAGGGACAGGAGACCCAGAGTAACTCCTATCCCCCCTCCTCTTTCAAAACACAGCTCTCATTGTAATGAGGTATGCAGCTCATTCTCACTCACTGTGCATCTGGGGTGCATGGCTTGGGTGCTCTTCTTGGCCAAGGCTTTTATAGGTGACATTATTCAACTTGGGTCCATGTAGTCCAGCTCCTGTAACATTAACAGGTTAAGGGGTTCGTCTCATGGTCTTGTGCGTGAGTTGTGGAACCTGGCGGGGTCTGGGTGTTGAGGAGACAGAGGAGCAGGGCCCCAGGAGGACCCTCCCTGCTGGGCCAGGCAGGAAAAGTTATTACCACTGTGTCTGATTCGGGGAGCAGAGCCCCTCAGCTGCTGATCTGGCATTGGAGTGGGCAAGTGGGCAGGCAGCAGGACCCCGCCAGAGATGAGGTTTAAGAGCTGGGTCTCAAGGCAGAGCTGGGAACTGAGGGAGGGACACATTTGTCCCACCTGAACTCCTCATCGGCATGGACTCCTGGACGCTGAGCTGCTGGAACCTCTTCTGTGCTAAGTTGGGTCTGGTTGGGAGGGAAGAGGGGGCTGCAGCTTGGAGAGGAGGGCATGGATTGGCAGCCTTAGACGTGGAAGGAGGCCCTGTTGACATGTTCAGGCCCCCAGACCTTCTGGGGGATGGGGCATAGGCAGGGCCCGTGCCACCGTGTGTCTGTGCCGGGAGCTTCCCAGGTGGGTGTGGAGTAGGCAGTAGGAAGGACGCCGAATGAATTAGGCTGAGTGCCAGGAGGCATGATCGATTCTGCTGCGGCTGAGAGGTGGCTTCCCAGTGCTGGTCCTTGGACGGGCAGTGAAGGGGGGCCCTGGAGGTGGAGAGGCTGTGGGGGCTGGAGCAGAGACCCTCACTGTGCAGCAGAAGCCCTGGGAAGCACATGGACTGGCTGGGGGCCAGGGTGGCTGAAGGAGCATAACATGGAGGGTGTGGGGTGCAGTGATGAGGCTGCTGACTGGGTCAGGAGGGAGACTGTGCCCAGTGGTGTTGTGGGGAAGTCGTTGGTGTCCGTGGGAGGTGACAGAGTGGGACCCTGGTGAGGAGCCCTTGAGTGGATGTCACCAGCATCCAGGTGAGAGCTGGGGGGTGTGAACCAGGCAGTGGGGCTGCGGTGGATGTGTGGGCAGAGGCAGACAGGGTCCCGATCCAGTGGAATCCAGGGGTGGGAGGTGTGAAGGGACCCAGGCTTCTAATCCTGGTGGGCAGGGGATGTGGACATGGGACGCAGACAGGGGAGCAGCTCTTCAGAGGAAGGCCAGGCCTGAGGTGCTGGGTGTCTCGGTGAGCCTCAGCCTTGTGAGTGGGTCGGGATCTTGGCACTCGGCACGGGAGAGCGGCTAACATCCCTTCCCAATAAGATCGTCCCCATTTGCTTTTCTGCACACTCTTAAACAGGACAGCTGTGAGGACGACGGGCACTGCTTACCTGGGACAGGTCTCAGAAGTTCTTTTCCCCATTTTTGTCTCATCCGTGGTGGACCTGAGACAGGCTGTGGCCATGCCCTCTCAGGCTGCATTCACAGCAACCAGGAGAGAAGGCGGAGGGGCTCCGCCTGCTGGCTAGGACATTCTGGTTGGAGTCTTGGGATGGAACCAGAAGGGACATGTCCATTCTTGGGGCCCCATAACTTGGCCAGCAAACCTCCTGGGCATAGTAGGCCATTGATGCATGCTTCTTGGGCACCACGGGAGCCTCTCTAGCATGGATGCCCGGACTTTGGTGGCACCTTTGCCAGCTGGCCCAGCCCCCGCACCCTGCACCTCCCCCATGTGCAGTGCAGAGCCCTCAGCCCCGATCACCTCACTCCGCACTTGCCGGGTCTCCTCCCCAGCACCTGACCTGCCTTTCTCTGCACCCCTCCTGGACCCGCCCCTGCGTGTTCTAGTGACAAAGGAATTTCCCCCTTTGCTTATGTTTTGGGGCAGTGCTGTGCACACTGTTGAATTCAGCAAGTGTTGGCTCATTTGAACTGAATTCTCAGGCTTATTTTTTCCTTTTTCAGATCAAACCGGTGGTGCATTGTGATATAAATGTGCCTTCCAAGTGGCAAACATATCATCGTATATCCCGACATATAAAGTGAGTACAGTATTATGGGTGAAAAAATCAAACTGTGCCGTAGCTGCCTAAAAACAAGACTTTCTATCCTGACAGACGCCCCTTAGCGTCCTTGCTGTCCCCCCTCCTCCTCACCCCACGCTCTCCTGCTCTCACACCCCGACAGCTGATTTCTTTTTCCTAGATCACCTTCTCTCTGCTTCAGCTGTTCAGGTGCTACCTTTTCTTTCTCCTCTTGAGCCCTGATTTTTGGAAAAGAAAAGCAACCCAGTGCCGTTGTCTGCAGAACGGTTCACCTGGGGATGCGAAGAGCAGAGCTTCGTACACACAGCTTAGTTGTAGGCTCTTAAATTTTGTTTTGATTTTTTTTTTTTTTTTGTGTAGCAGTTGCAGCTGCAGCATCTTGAAGGGAAACTTAAAAGCTGTTTCCTCGCCCCATGACCTCTTGCTACCAAAGGCCCTTGCGGGCTAAAGCACATCCCAGCCAGGTGCTGCTGCAGGAGCGGAATGCATTAGAGCCTCGCTGGCCACTGCCCTGGGATGCCCCTGGTAGCGCCAGACACTGAGGCGCTCCGCGGAAGGCAATGGGACTAGTTGTGAGCTCTGTATGTATTATGTTTTTGGGGCTGGAAAAAGACAGTGCATTTGACTCAAACTCAACGTCGGTTCACATCCCGGCTTTTGTTCTTATCAGCTTGGGACCTGCACCTGCTGCTTCACCCTGGGGCTGTCTCCCGCTGTGGAAAACAGGGCTGGGGATATCTGTGCGGCACGCTCTGGTGGGGGTAGCTTCGGGAATGTTTGCGGCTAGCCCCACGGTGCTTGCCACAGCGTAGCAGTTCTCTGATCGACAGCTCTTCCCCATGTCCTCTTATTGGGATGTTTTAGTATTCTAGTGATTAAAAGCCCTGATGTGGACATCTTTCCATTTCACCATGTGCTGGTCCAAACAGAAGGAATTTTAGTGAGCTTCCAGAGAATCCTGAGCTGTTCATGTGGGGGTACCAGCAGTGGTGTCTCATCCCAGCCCTGTGTGAGTGGGAGTCACCGCTACCATGTGTCCTCTCAGTCCCGAGAGGGAAGGGCTTGGAGGCTCATGAGGCTGGAAACGCCCTGATTCACCTGACAGATCCCCAGGCTGGGAAGGAGAAAGATGAAGGAAAGGTGGTGACCGTGAATTTGCCAGACTTGGCTCCTTGCACTTTTCCTTAGAATCTCAACGGCCATTTCTTTAAAATACCTTACTTTAAGCTTCTGCAAGGGGGCCACCTAAATACGCAACGTCTTTCCACGCCATCTTTCATGTATCTGAGAGCTGTTTTGAAATAATAAATGACACAGTATTTCTAAGTTTTGTTAATGATATCTTTCCTGCAGAACGTATGGCAACCTCAGGGAACATCGTTGCTTTGTGGGTCCTTCTCGCCAAAGACACCATCGCTAAAGCCACATTTTGTGGGTGTGACCCAGGCCATCAGTGAGCCTCACTCACTTGACAGACATGATTATCCTTTTCAATTAGAAGCCACCCACTCGTGCAGCATTGGCCATGCTTTGTCTCGGAGTGTTGGAAGTTCCACTAGATGGACCCAAATATCCATCTGAGTGCAGGGTCCTTCCTACCACGAAAAATCCTGGTGATGTTCCTTGGAGTCCTTGTAACTATAAAAACACATAAACAATAGTTATGATGGCATTCAGAGGCGTAGAGGCTCAGGAGAGAGAGGCGGGCTGTGACCGTTCCTGGCTGAGGAGGGTCGGCGAGGGGTGAGTGGCTTGGTGGCTCCGTGGCAGCTGGACGCTGGAGGCAGAACCTAGGGCTCCCGCCATGGGGTCACCTGGGGCTAGAGCTGGTGGTGAGTGCATGGGTTGGAAGTCATCTGGAGGTCGAGGCGCAGATGGAAGCTCGGGTTCTGGCACTGACTGGCAGTTCTGGAAGTTAGGATTCTGTCCTCCCCCACAGGCTGGGAGACAGGCCCCGTCCTGCCTGAGGCTTGCAGTTCAAGGGAGAGGTCTTAGGTGCGGGAAACACGTCTCATTGCAAGAGACACATATTTGTCAATGCTCTAAGAAAGAGCGGTCAGGGGCCTGTCTCAGGTGTTGGCTGGCACGAACAGTACATGTTCCTGGCAGCTCTGGGTTTTTCAGGTGGGAGTTTAGTGGTGGGGCTGGGGTCACCCTGTGGCCGTGGCCTGCTGCTGCTGGACACGGGCTGGAGTTGGTTGTCTTGGTGCCGAGTTGGGGCAGAGTTGTCATAGGCCAGAGTTCTGTGACACTCATCCCCTCCTCTTGTTCGTGAGGGAGAGCAGGTGTATTCTTGTAGGACAACCACTGCCTGCCATAAGGGGACTTGAGGAGGAGGGTCCAGCTGTTGCTTCCAACTGCTGTGTGTTCAGGAGGAGCTGAGAGATGGCTGAGGAGCACAACCCTCCTGCAAGGGTGGTATACATCGGGAGATGGAGGCATGACCGCTGGGATGGATGCGAAGAAGCCAGAGGCCAGGCACGGTGGCTCACGCCTGTAATCCTGGCCCTTTGGGAGACTGAGGCAGAGGGATCACTGGAGCCTAGGAGTTTGAGACAATCCTGGGTGACACAGTGAGACCCTGCCTCTAAAAAAAAAAAAAATAAGAAACTGAGTCTCTCAAGGAGCGCCGTAAACCATCCAGTGAGCGGAGGAAATGATTTAAAGGAGAGTCAAGTCGGTCTGGAGGGTATGAGCTGTATCAGCTGTGTCTTGGGTGTGAGCCTTTGCTGTGAGCGTCTCTTGACAAATTTGCTCTCAAGTGTCATCTACAAACAGGTGGCACTGAGGACTGACTCTGCACAAACACCTCCCTGGTTGCCAGTCAGTAGTCTGAGGCTAGTCTGTTTTGTGAAGTCGTTTACAAAGTGCTGACACTTCTGGGGTTAATGATGCCGCAGCTTATCCTAAGTTGGAGACAGAATCTTCCAGTTCTGGGGCTGGCTTTGCTGACTCCCTTTGTAACCTTGTAGTGTATCTGTCGTCACAGGCGAGGGTGCTGTGGGAGGAACAGACCACCTTACTAGGTGGGCTTCGGGCAGCAGGTCCCACTTAAGGTGGCTCCCTGTCCACCACTGCTTGGTTCACAAGTCTCAGGACCAGCAGCTGGGGCAGCATGCATGTTTCTGAGTCTCCTCTGTGAAGTTTGTCACATTTAGCCATTTCAAGGTCGGCATGGGTCACATGACAGGACCCAGTCCACTGGCTGGTTGCACTTTCTAAGTTTTATGACCACATCATACACAATGATGAGCATAAGGTTATTGGTTATTGCCTGTACTGGTTATGACAGGCTTGATGGGCTAACCGGGAGTAGTCCCCAGAGGGAGAAAAGTAACCATTGACTACTGTCTTCTCGCTGATTGCGCGTTTTAGTCATGTTCAACCCACAATTCCATTTGCCTGGTTACTTTGCCAAATAATTTCCTGTGATGTTGACATCATGGGGTGTTGAAGGAAGATGATGCCTAAAGGGAGCTTGGCCCTCACACTGAGCTCCTGTTTCATGAGAATAGAAAGTGTCTTACCACAGGGACATGAAGGGCTCCCTGTGTCCCACAGACAGGCCAAGTCTATTAGGCTGATTTCCCGTGAACGGTCACCTCCCTGAGCTCACGAGGCCATGTTGTAGTCCCAGGCTTGGGGGACCTGAAGTTACAGTTTGTGCCACTTCAGAAGGGGACTGCTCTGGTGGTGTGTAAGGGATGTTTCCTGTCCGGACCTTATTTATGGGTAAGACGAGGCCGCTATGAAGGGGTTCCCAGTTTCAGGACTGAGTAGGGAAGGGGCAGTGCGTGCAAACCCAGGAATTCACCTGTTGTCTCATTGGCTGCCTGGTGAGCCGAGAGAATGAGGGAGTGGTGATCGCACTAGGAGCTTGCAGGCAGAGTGAGACTGGGGGAACCAGGAGGGCCCAGCAGAAGGCTGGATGTGGTTCTGTGGAGTGAGGAGTAGTTGATGCAATTGGGAGGAAGATGCAGGAATCGCAGGAGGAGATTTAGTTTGTTGGGGAGTGTGAAGAGGCAGGAGCATCTGTGGGCTCTTGCTCCATGATCTGGAGAGAAGCCACCCGTGTCGTGGCATCACCTGCTGGTTCCGCGGTTGTTGGGACAGTTGTCTGCCTCTGGCTGTCATCTGCTGCTGGAGGCTGTTGGTACAACTGTGGTTTGGGATCTCTGGTTGGATGCTTTCCAGTCTGAATCATCCTTATATGTTTTTTTTAGCCATGAGGCATGGACAAAAGTTGAACACCTTGTAATTGGACAGCAATGAACAAAACAGCACAAGGTCCTTCTTGTGTGGGTTCAAGGTTAGTTTCCTGATGGTGGCATTTCCAAAATACCAGATCTCATACCTGCAAATTGTATAAAGGCTGATGAAGGAGTTTGAGAGGAAAGGTGGCCTTGATTGTAGGACTGTGTGTATTTAGTTAACTCCCGACAGTGTCTGAGGATGTCAGACTGCGTTAAATTGAAATCCCTTGTTAGCTAGTAGGTGTGGGGCATTCTCATGGTCTTCCTGTAATGGTTTCAAAGGGAGACCGTGTCTGAGGAGGATAGGGTGAGGATCTGGGAGTCAAAAGAAGGATGGGTGACACCCATAGAAAGCCCAGTTCCTCAGACAGATCAGCCAGCTTGGACTTTGGACACCGGGGGCTCTTCCTAAGGGGCCTGATGACTGAGGCTGTAAGGGCAGTGGAGTCTTCGACTAATGTGTTATATTTTTAGTTGCTTGCGTAATTTTGCTAGTAAAATGTGATCTTTCATTAGAAATTATAGAGGGGATACCCCAAGTGGGATAGATTACTTCCAGGAAAATGTTGGCAACTGACATCGTGGAGGCATTTTGGCAGTGGAAAAACCTCTAACCATTTAGAAAACATGCAGATCAGTGTGGGGACATACTGGGGACGCATTGGCTGCTGGGACTCTGGTAATTGGATAAAGTCTGCTTGTCAGTGAAGGAGGGGGCCAGGGAAAGCTGTTTCGCTTCCTCAGCCCATGTTTAGAATTTTCCCAGGGCCATGTTTCCGGCAGATGATGTGAGGGGCAGCTGCTTGGTCCAGATAAAAGCTAAGGGGTTCAAGCCATTGTTTGTCCGGTACAGGCTGCATTTGGACCTTTCTGGGCTGAGTCAGGTATAAGCCATGTACAGTGACTCTGGCGATAGACTTGGGTGGGGCATGTGGAGCTCCTGTGTTATTTCCTTGGGAGGCATCTTGAAGAAGTTGTTTCCTTCACGGGAGGGGTCTGCTTAGGTTGCCATAACAAAACACGTGGGACTGGGTAGTTTATAAACAACAGAAATGTTTGGCGCACAGTTCTGGAGGCTGAGATGGAGGTGCCAGCGGGTTTGGCGTCTGGCAAGGGATGCTCCCTGCCGCACAGAGGTGCCTTCTTGCTGTGTCCCCCCGATAGAGGGGGCAGGCGAGCTCTCTGGGGCCTCTTGTATAAGGTACTCACCCCAGTCATGAACCTAAGCCCTTCATGACTGAACCTCCTTTCAAAGGCCTCCCCTCTGAATGCTTTTGCATTGTGGATTTGGTTTCAACGTGAACTGGAGGGTGAGGGGACACAGAATTCAGACCATAGCAGAGGGCGAATAACCCCTCCAGGGGTCCGGGGCCTTGAAGGGCGAGCCAGCGGTATGGGCTCAAGGCCAGGAGACCCTGTGGGTTTCTCAAGCGGTGGGGAAGCGGTCCCAGTTTGGCTTATTTATTAGCCCGTTTATTTCCCCAAGTCTCATCTGATTTCTTTGTACTGTATCCCTCCGTTTTAATAACAGCAGTTTGCTGCGGTAATAACAGCGCTTCCAGAAGTTCTGCTGTTTGACTCAGGTACTGGCTGCTGTCGTCAATCCCCCGTTTCCGTAGCACCCACATCACATGCTGCCCCAAAGGCATGGCGGCTGGCAGCATAGATGTTTCACCTTCATTCCTTCCGTCTTCATGCAAGCCCGAGTGAGAGATTCATTCAGCCTCCTTGGCTGATTTAACACACGGCAGGACTCGATAGCCAAGAGGTGTGTGCTGATCAGTGATGGGATATCCAGCTGGGAACGGTTCATCCTCCCTCCAGAGATAGGAGCCATAAAGAGTGAGATCTGCTTAGGGCAGAGGGGTTTCTGATGAATCTAATCTAGGATGAGATGATCATCTGATGTTAGTGACATGGGTGTCCCGTCCATGATTAATGGATGCAAGGGCAGGATTAAGGCTTTGATGGTATAGTATGGTTATGTGAGGGAGGAAAGCAGTAGGTTTCATAAGAGGGAATTTTGGCCACAGAGAAATGCTGTATTCCCATTAAGCAGTAGGGTCTGTAAGGTCTGAATGGGATGAGGAATGCGTGTGTCCAATAGGTGACCCAGTTGCAAGTGAGACACAGCCGGAACAAGACTGGTGATTGCAGCCCTGGCTCGTTGTGGGGGATTTGCCTCAACTCCTGAGCTCGATGGAAGTGCTCACAACCCAGCTTTTCATGTGTTGGGGATGAAACTCCACGACATGATCCTCTCCTTCATTAACAAAGAAGTACAAAGGCAGGGAGTAATTGGGAAGTTTGAGGTGGGGTGAAACTAGAGAGCGCTTCAGGTTCTCGAAAAATGTCTTTAGATGGGGGATTCCTTACTGCTGGGTCCAGGGTTGACTCCCTCATCGTGGCCTAAAAAGAGGAGGCAGTCGGAGAGGAACTGGGTGTCCACATCCTCCAGCATCCCACAAGACCCCCTGTCCCCGCCCCCAATTGTCCTTTTGCTTCCAGGTAAGGAAAATGTTGAGGATTAGAAACTTGGTCTTTTGTGTGTGTGTGTGTGACTAAGATATCATAGCTCAGATATCAGACACACAGAGAGGATAATTGAACTTGGTGTCCAGCCACTCTGTGGCCCATTTTGCGAATGCCCTAAGGAGGAATTCAGTGCACAGAAGGGAGCTGTTGTGAGTTTCAGAACACAGGAGGAGACCATCCACAAATTGTATTACAGCCGAGTTTCCTGGGAATTTTACCTCCTTCAGATTTGCACTTAGGGTGTGTAAGAAGTAGGTAGGGGCCTCAGTAAATCCTTGGGGCATAATGGTCCAGGAATATGGTTCATCTTCCCAGGAGAAGGTAACAAGCACGAGGAATTTTCGTGACAGGGAATTCTAAAAAAGGCAGGGCACGCATTGATGACCGTGAAATGCTGCGTGTCAGAAGTGATCACAGCCAGGATGGTGTTAGTGTCAGGCACCAAGAAAAACCTCGGTTTGACAATGTTTTGATCAGTCTCAGATCTTAGATCAGTGGACATTTTTCCATTTGGCTTTTTAGAGGCTGGGATGGGAGTGTGGCATGGACTAGAAATATCGGGCAGTACCTTTCAAGTCCCTCTGGTTTTAAATGATTTTGGGGAATCTTGGGGAGTGGCATGGAAAGATCTATTTCTATCTTTCAGGATTCTGCATCCAAATACATCTTACATTTGTGGAGTTTGTGATCCACAAAGAAGGAGGAGTCCTGCCTAACAGCTGACGGTGCCCTTGGCTAAAAGGGTGCCCGGTGGAGGGAAGCAGAGAACCTAGGGAAGTCGGACACAGTGTCAGGGAACATAGACAAGAGGAAAGGGGTCCCTGGGGCCACAGTGGATTCTAACACCCTGATTCAGGAGAGGATCCCTTCCTCTGTCCTTTCGAGAAGGCAGGGGTCTAACTGAGCAGATTAACCCAAGCCACCTACGGACGGCTAAACGAAAAGAGCACCCTGCGACACACACCCACTAGGGCTTCGGGAGCTGTAAACATGTACGCCTATACACTGCTGTGGGGTCGGGCCCCACAACCTGCCCGTCTGTATGCCTCCCTAGAGGTTGAGCAGCGGGGCACTGAAGAAGCGAGCCACATGCCCCTCGCACGCCTGTGATGGGGACAAGGGAACTTTTCCTGTTTCACAACCGCTGTTAACCTTACGGCACCTTCACTCCTCATGCGCTTTCTGTAGCCCACTGTTGTGGGTTTTGTCTACAACATTAATTGTATTTGACGCTTTTCTCCCTGTAGATATAAATTCTGCATAAATAATTTTTAATGGCTGTATACTTTATGGTGTGACCGTGGCATCATTTATTTAACCAGTCATCTATACCTAGACATTTTATATTTTTGGCTTCATACATAATTCCATGAGAAATGTAATCACCTATAAGTCTTTGTCCACATTTCTGTGGGGTGAATTTCGTGGTGTGGGATGACTGGGCCAGTGATTATCGGTCCCTTATATTACATTGACCTATTTTGCCAAAATGTCCTTCAAGAAGACTGTGCGGATTTCCAACTACATCCGCAGTGGGTTGGTATGCCTCTGTCTCAATACTCAGGATAGGACTATACATTAACTTTCTTAAAAATTGAGACAAAAATATAACAAGACCTTGTTTAAACATTTACTACTTTTATTCCTGTTAGTAATCTATATTTAGAAAAAGCTTCAGCCTAAACCAAGTAAGACAACCAATAGTTGAAAACATTGTAGCAAACCTTTATTGTGATTGTAATAGCACGCTGATGAGCGATGCTGTAACTTTCAGAGAACATTCCTGTTTATGACTTCTTGTGGGCGGCCTCTTCACTGTGGACGAAGTTGGACTCTGGATGGATTGGAAGTCTCTTTTGCCCCAAAACCTTAGCAGAGAAAATGGATTCTCTGTACTGTGACAAACATATTAAATTAATATTTATATTTACCTTAAAGTGAGGTATTTCTCAAATTCTAAATTATTTGAATTTAAGGAAAAAGACAAAATGGCAGTAACAGTAAATTATAATGTAAAAAAATTAGCAACCAGAATTGCAAAGTTGAGCTTCTGTATTGTTAAAAGATATCAATGATAACATTTATTATTTTTAGACTTCAACAAATACACCTTGTATTTTACGTTATTTAATGTGAATTACAAGAGTTTGAAACTATTGCAAGTGTCTGATTAGGGCCTAGTCTCAGGAACACTTCTAACTTGGTATTGGGTTCAAAAATCTTCTAAGTATTTCCTTTCCCTCAACACATAGAAATAATAAACAACCCCCCCGCCCCCGACAAGATTACATCGAAGCTGCCCTAAAACTCAGGAGTGAAATAAGTCGTTTCTGTTACTTTTTCAAAGGAATGCATATAATTTTCTTTGGGAGATGATCTTGGCTCCAGGGAAAGGGAAAACAGCTACATTCTTTAAGGTGAAATTATCTGCCCGTTTTCCAAATGGACACAATTTTCTTTCATTTTACCCATCACAGTCGTGGAAGACGTGTTTTTAAACAGTGGAGTCATGTCCTGTTCATCTGGGCATTTTAGGCTTTATGAAATGCCCAGATTTTATCAAGCTGCACAGAATGGCATAACTGTGGGGCTGGAGCCTCACAGCCTGCCCGTCTGTATGCCCTCCTGGAGGTTTGAGCAGCGGGGCACTGAAGAATTGAGCCACACCCCCATCGCACGCACTCTGAGGGGGACAAGGGGACTTTTCCTGTTTCACAACCACTATTAACCTTAAGGCACCTTCACTCATGCTCTTTCTGTAGCCCACTGTTGTGGTTTTTGTCTACAACAAAACCATAATATATGTGTATATATATACCTCTACGTCACCAGGCTCTTGACATTCTGTGCGGCTTGATAAGGTCCTCTATAGGGTATGGTATGCAGTATTGGAGGCTGCTTAGTGAATCCTCTGTGTGTGTATATATATATTTATTTATATTTATATATATGGATTTATTATATATATGTATATATATATACTTTGAGTATTCAACGTTTCCCCCTTAAACTTAACGTATTAATGGATGCTTTTCTTTTTATGCTTACAGTGTTTTTACAAATGGAAGATTATTTATTCCACCTGCAAAAATTATTATACCCAAATTTAGTCTGTCTGATTGGGACATCGTGCTGGCCATGATTGGAGAAAAAGTCTTCCCTCTAGGAGGCGTCCGGAAGTAAGGACACTCTCACCTGTAGGGCGGCCGTGGGTGGCAGCTTGTGTTTCTTCTCTTCTATGAGAGTTTTCTGACCGGACCAGCAAGGTCTAAAATGATTCACCACAAACTCTTAATTTTAATTCTTCAAGCAGATGGTATTTTCTCAATCTTGGTACCATACTTACTTTTAACCTGTCTCATTAATTTATTCATTCAACAAACCATGGAACATCTGCCATGTGGTAGGGGTAGAGAATACAGCCTTGTGAAAAGAGTCTTGCTCCCTTGAAACCTCTGCTGATTGGGCCAACCATTCAAGTTGCTAGAATGCTGCAGTTGTCTGTGTTCTATGACATGGACTCCTGGCCCTCTGCCTGTGACACGTCCTGGATCCGGGAACTAGCTGGGGGTGGAGTTCTCGGGAGTAGAGTTTGGGGTGGGAGAAAGGGAAGCCATGGAGGAGCATGCAGAGGAGCTGCAGTTGGTCTGGCGGAGCCAGGCCTGTGGGAGCTGGTGTTTAAATTGAGTCTTGGCAGAGATGGGGGGAACTGAATTCCATGGGACAGAAGGGCATGTGGGAAGGAGCTGGTGTGTGTAATGGTTTCTCACATGGGCTTGGGGGTCCGACGTGGAGGAAAATCTCTCCACCGTCCGTGTCTTTGTTGTCTCTGGGTCATTTCCAACTTCCCGATGCATATTTTGTCATCTGGAAAACTGGAAGTAATAATAATACCTACTTCCAAGGGTCCTAATGTATGTACAGTGCTTAGCGTAACACTCGATGCATAGTAAGCATGAAATGGGGTTTGTGATTATGATTGTGAGAGTCGATGAGGCACAAACAGGCAGAGCATGTTGAGGAAGCACGCCACTGTCATCATAGGAAATTCAGCGCTGCTGTGAGGGAAGCGGCAGGTCCCATGAGTATCTTACAGACCAGGCAAGGGGCTTGCTGTCTTGCAGCCCATGAGTCCCACTGGCGTGAAGGAAAGCTCACAGCGGTTGTCATGATGGACTGAGGGTGGGAGGTGAGAGATGGGCGCCGAGCCAGGTGGCCGTGAAGATCACTGAGTTGGCCTTGAGCTTTAACCACATTCAGGCTGAAAGCGAAGGGATGGCAAAAATAGCCCATGCAAGTGGAAACCAGAAGAGAACAGGGGCAGCTGAACTTATATCAGACAGAACAGACCTCACGTGAAAAACCAGCAAGAGATAAAGAAGGTCGCTGCATTGTTAAAAGGGTCAGTCCATCAAGAGTATACAACAATTATATATGCAACCATCACTGGAGCACCTAAATACATAATATGCCAGTATTACCAGAACTGAAGGGAGAGGTAGACAGCAATACAATCATAGGAGACGACTTCAGTACCCCACTTTCAACAACAAATACATCATCCAGACAGAAAGTCAATAAGGAAACTGTGGACTTGAATAACAATAGAAACCCAATGGGCTTAACAGACTTCTGAACATTCTGGCCACCAGCAGCAGAGTACACATTCTTCTCGTGTACACAGCTTTCTCCATTAGGCCACAAACCAAGTCTTAGCAAATGTGAGACTGAAATTGTATCGAGTATTTTTTCTGACCATAATGATACAAAACTAGAAATCAGTAATAGGAGGAAAATTGGAAAATTCACAAATATGTGGAAATTTCACAGTGCGCTCCTGAACAACCATTGGGTCAAGGAAGAAATCAAAAGGGAAATAAAGTATCTTGAGATCAACAAAAATGGAAATACATACTAGAACTTATGGGAGTCAGCAAGAACAGTTCTAAGAGTGAATTTTATAAAGAAAAATGTGCATAATGGTCAGGCATGGTGGCTCATGCCTGTAATCCCAGCACTTTGGGAGGCTGAGGTAGGTGGATCACCTGAGGTCAGGAGTTCCAGACCAGCCTGGCCAACATGGTGAAACCTGTCTCTATTAAAAATACAAAAAATTAGCTGAGTGTGGTGGTGGTTGCCTGAAATCCCAGCTGCTCGGGAGGCTGATGCAGGAGACTCACTTGAACTGGGGAGGTGGAGGTTGCAGTGAGCCAAGATTGCACCATTGCACTCCAGCCAGCAAAACTGCTTCAAAAAAAAAATGCTTATATTAAGGAAAAAGAAAGATCTCAAACAACCTAACTTTACACCTCCTAACTTTACATTTTATTAACAGAATGAAAGAAATCATACGATCATCTCAATAGATGCAGAAAAGGCACTGGACAAAATTCAACATCCTGTCACCATCAAAGCTCTCAGCCATTAGTATAGAAAGAATGTATCTCAACATAATAAAAGCCAAATAAGACAAGCCTGCAGCTAACATCACACTCAATGGTAAAAAGCTGAAAGCTTTTCCTCTAAGATTAGGAACAAGGTAAATGTGCCCGCTTGTTCCACTTACATTCAGCATAAGACTGGAAGTCCCAGCAAGGGGAGTCAGACAAGAAAAAGAAACAAAAGGTATCCACATTGGAAAGGAAGAAGTCAAATAATCTGTTTGCAGATGATATGATTTTATATATAGAAAACCCGAGACTGCACCAAAAAACTGTTAGAATAAAAGAATTCAGTAATGTTGCAGGATACTAAACCAACATACAGAAATCAGTTGTGTTCCCACATAATCCCAGTGAGCTGTCTGGAAAAGAAATGACGAGAACAATCCCATTTACCAAAACACCAAAAAGAGTAAAATACTTAGGAATAAATTTAGCCAAGCAAGTGAAAGCTCTCTACACTGAAAACTATGAAACGCTGATGCAAGAACTTGAAAAAGCCACAAATAAATGGGAAGACATCCATGTTCGTAGGTTGGAAGAGTTAGTATTCCTCCAATATTATACCAGAGCGACTGCACCGGTGGGGGTCCTTTTCTGAGGTGAGGGCCCTGCAGAGGAGCAGGTTTGGGTGTTGACAGCAAGATGAAGAATCAACTAACGCATGCCTGTGGGACCCCCGAGGCCTGGGCTGCAGATGGAGCTGGAAGCCGGACGTTTAGACTGGGGATGTGTTAACTCGGTGGCCGGTGGAGCTGTGTGTGTGGATGAGGTCCCATGGAGAAGCCAGGCCGGGTGCATTAGCCGCTGGTCGTCTTGTGAGAATGTGGGGCCGTTGTGGTCAGATTTTTCACAAGAAGGCAGAAACGTCAAGTCATTTAAAACAAAGACAAAAACCCTTCTCTGATCAGTTGCTTTTATGCCCCTATTCTGCCCACAGGCAAGGTTTTGGGTATCCTATAAGGGGAGCTTTGTTTTCCTCAGCAGCTCTTCGGCCTCGGGTTCGCGCTCTTGTGGTCCTGATGCTGGACCGGGTTTCCACCTCTATGTGGCTCTGCCCGTTGGTGCCTTGTCTGACCACTTGGCACTTGATCCTGCCTTTGCCCAGATGTGATTTTTTTGAATTCTTTTTGCCTTGTTTTCTGTGACATGGACTCCTGGCACTCTGCCTGTTCCCTGTCCTGGATCTGGGAACCAGCTGGGGGTGGAGTTCTTGGGAGTAGACTTTGGAGTGGGAGAAAGGGAAGCCACGGAGGAGTGTGCAGAGGAGCTGCAGACTCCGGAGCGGAGGCAGGGTGTGGTGGTGGGCGCCTGGGGTGGCAGAGGGGCCCGGGAGGGCACAGCCTGGAAGCCTGGGCCAGATCCGCTTCCAGGGAACGCCATGGCTGAGGCCGGCGAGATGAGACCTAGAACGTCCTCTCTGACTGCACTTAGCAGGTGGCCACGGGCTCTTTGAGATGGAAGCCAGGTCCTGTGGGCGGGCTTGAGTGGGGGGTGAGAAAGCAGGCATTGGAGTGTAGGGACCACGTAGCTGTGAGGGGGGAGAGTGGGGTGATGCAGGAGATGTGAGCTTGCAGCTTGAGGGGTTCAGGGCAAAGACGTGGTCACTGCTGAACAGGAGGGGCCTGAGCACACCTCTCTCCTGAGGGTGAAGTCCCAGTGGAGGGGAAGAGGGTGAAGGTGGAGGACGGAGTGGGGCACAGGAGCCAGGCCCTGAGCAGGTGGAAGGTGGTGTGACCTGGAGGATGGGTGGATGCGTAAGCTGTGCAAGGTGGGGAGCCACCCTTCCTGCGAGGCAGGGGTGGAGGTGACGATGGGCGCAAGCACAGAAAGCTGTGAGGTAGGTGGGAAGGAAGGTGGCAAATTAATGCCTAATGGACTCTAAAATGGGAAAGTATTGTGTCTTGTGAATGGACAGAGGAGGATGGAGGCAGTGGGAGGGACATGGAAGGGAGGATTGCTGAGCAGGGGTGAGGGCCCTGCTAGACCACGCACTGAAGATTTGCAGCAGAACCAACCCGTAGCTGTGCGTGCTCTCGGGCACTCAGAGCTGAGGATGAGAGAGGAGGCAGACGGGTGGTTGCATGGGGTGAAAGCAGGGAGGGACAGGCAGGGGCGGGGGCTCCTGGCACAGCAGGTGGAGTCGTTGCTGGTGTGGACGGGTAGCCAGAGCCAGTTGGGTGGCCTCAGGCCCAGGGTCTAGCTGTTGTAGCAGATTAGAGGAAGGTGAAATAGGAGAGCGGAAGACTTGGAGGCCACGAAGCTGCAGGGGCGAGGTGGAGACATCCACCTGGGGATGCTTCTGGGCGATGATGAGGTGTGAAGGACTGCCCTTGGGGGAGCTGGGAAGGCGCAGGGGAGATGAAGATCTTCCAGGCAGAGGAGTGGGAAAATGCTGCGCGGCAGGGAGAGGTAGGAGGAGCCGACCGTGGGCAGCCCTCGTCCCTGATGGTAGACGCTGTGGTGGAAGAGCAGAAACGTTTAATCCTGCCTTATGCTTTTGTCAGCTCACTCCCTTGGGGGTAGATTAAAAACATCAAAGAGGGATTTACAGTTACCAGTTGTGAAACCAGCGATGAAAACTGATGAACACTTTCGAGTAGAGCGTAAACTGCTGGGCCGTTTAGAGCAGTGGAGCTATGAGTCATCTTGTAGCAGCAGCGAGGGGCAGGTGGAAGTTAGATGCTTATGCACAAATCAGTACCGGGAATACCCCCATTCCCCAGAGTGCAGCTAGA